GGTGTACATGCCTTGATGTATTAATTTATATCTCAGCTTTTCTCAGAGAGCTCAAGGCACCTGATATGACCATCACTACTCATTTTATCCCATCAATGAAATCCTATGAGATGGCATGGGCTGAGTGGGAGCGACTGCCCACTGTCGCCCAGTGAACTCTATGGTTGAGTGGAGACTTGAGCTTGGATTTCTATGGTTGGTTCAACATCTTACCCACTAAACTACAGGACACTGGCAATACACTTATCTGTGAATCTACAGTGTTCTATGAGCATGTCCTAAAGATATGAATTCCCTGGGTCCTTGGCTATGGATCTAGGCCTAGGATATGTTAAGGGCTGACTGTTCCCATACAAATTGAGCCATACTGGAAACTGTTTCTCAAGAGCCCTGTTCCAAGTCCTTCCTGTTGTGGGGAGAGAATCACCTTTTCAACAGCAGTAACAGCTGAAGGGTGCAAATGTCACTTCCCTGCTTATTCATTCTGCCTCTTCTCTGTTGACATTGGGACAGCAGGCAAAGTTTTGGGAACTTTGAGTTTGAGGTAACATTTCCCAATGGTCTGATTCAATCTAGGTTGTTCCTAGATAATGTGTTTTTTCTCCTACTAGTTCTTCTCAATTGCTAAAGAAGTATATAAAAATGGGAGAAGAACATAAAAGTCTATCTAATCCTAATTCTTACAAAGGCCCAAAAATGCTAGGTGGAAGCCTTGTCTAACTCATGATTATATGATTTTTTTCCCCTCAATCTCTATGTAAGAACAAAAAAGCCCTTATTTTAATTTTTTATGCAATATTTTTGATTCATTCATGGGTTTGATATGTACTTGGATTTTAAATTTGGTCACTGCCAGGATTTTTTGTTTTAAGAGAGGATATGCATATCACTTCTCAGCCTTTTGGCTAAGTTCAAGTATAATATCTTCATACTTTGAATAAATAAATAGATGTATAAATAAAGAAAACTAAATCCTGAAACTTATTTAGGCTGTAGACATTTTGAAAAATGAGTAGAAATTAATGTTTAAACTTCATAGTTCTAAACCATGACAACTCACAGTGTAAAGGGTAAAGAAACTAGGCATAGATGGATACATGGAGGTGTGAAAACTTTTGGAATGTTATATGGAAAAGTCTTTGTTAGAAGAACGGTCATATCTCAATGGATGAACAACTGCTTTACGCAAGAAAAGTTCACTCCTGGCCACAGTCTGTGACAATGGAGAATTACTTTCTCTGTTCCTATATGTGATATATATTTTCCCTTCCTCTTCTGTCTGACTGAGTTCACCCATTGCATGATGCCCTTAGTTGACTTAACCATGATTTGTTCAATAAGCCACAGCTGGATGGGTTCACCCAACATGCTACAGTGCAGCTTGTGGTTTACAAAGCACAATGAACCATAAACACACCAATCACTCGATTACTGGAATGGGTTTCCACCTTATGCTGAGTCATGGTTTGTTTCAACATTGTTGGCAGGCTTCACCCATAATGCTGAGGTATAAAAGCATGGTTAACAATCCACGTTGCACAGAGCCACAAAGAAGCCGAAGCCATCCAGAATTCCTAAGAGGCTAAAGCATGAGGTGTCTGGAATGCCATTTGCATCATTTTTGTTAGTGTTGCGATAACGGACCTCCCTTTTCTCTGCTGAGGCAGTGGCTGGGGCTCTCTTGCCTCTCCCTGGTGAACCTTTAATCTTTGGGGACTGGAAACGTTGTCCCCTTAAGCAAACACCAACCAAAGGAGCAGGTGGTTGAGTGCCTTGTCAGTTTCAAAGCCCAGGTGGCTGAGACCATTGCAGGAAGGGAACAGGTTCCCGTCTCTCCCTTGCAGCGCAGACGCCTCCTTCCTGCTTGGAGGATTTGAAAGGCTCACTACCATCAGGGATGAAGAAAGAGTCTGAGACCTTGCGACTGGTGAGGATAATGATCTTTTCCCCAAACCTTTTCTCTTAGGCTTTAAGAAATTATTCCAAGGAAGCTGCTGTATTGCATAGGATTTCCAGGATTCCTGGGTCTGTAACCAGGGGATGGGGCATGGGGATTTCAGGGAATGTAGAGTGCATCTGTCCTTCTGAAGCCTGCTCCTCTTGCCTCCAGATCTGGATTCCTCTGCTGATTTGGGGCCACTTTCTTTGGAATTCATTTGCAAATGGGGAGTGAAGCAGATGTTTAGAACAGTGTTTCTCAACTGTGGCAACTTTAAGACGTGTGGACTTCAACTCCCAGAATTCCCTAGCCAGCATGGCTGG